TCCCAGGCCGCACCGCGCGCCGCGCCGGCTACTGCCGAGCCATGTGCGTGCGGCGGGGGAGGCCGCACCAAGGCTGCGGGAGGGGGAGCACCCCCGCCCTGGTGCCTCGCGACGAGCCGGAAAGAACTCAGACCCGCAAAGCCGTGGCCACAAGCAATCCAGTGCCATCTTTGGGACAAGAAAGGGCTCCGCCGGATTCTTCAAGGTTGTTTTTGTCAGGCAGTAAACTCATTGGGAGCGATAACCACCTCTTTTGGGCAGCGGATGGTTTCGTCCAACATGGCACCCGCTCCCCCCCTTTTCCCATCGGGCACTGCGGGAAGGGACTGAACTATTTGTGGCGCCGAAGGCGGGTACCAGAAACTATGTTAGCGTGCGGAATGGTAGGAAAATACCACCTAACTCAAAAGTTAGTACCATGGGAAAGTGACGGCTGGACAAATGACTGCTTACGCCCTCTTAGTCTTTACCCAGACAAACCGTTTAGTTTCCATTACTAAATTCCCCCTGTGTATGTCGGATTTTTAGACTCGTCTACTGACTGGGCAAAAGAACGGACGATTCAAAAATGCAACCAGAATTCGCGGAGAACCAGAGACGGTCAGCCCTACTAGAGATACAACTGCCCTGCGCAATACGAAAACGTACGAGGGCTGCTTCCATCCTCTGCGCCCACGATTACCGTAGCAGTTGTAAACCTGTCTTCCCCCCGTTCTGACGGTCACGATGGTTCGGCCCGCTGGAGACCACGGCCCTCGGAGGCGGGAGGACGCAGGTCACGTGGGCCGGGGGTCACGTGGGTTTGGGGGCGTGCCCACGCGTCGCAGGGCGGGAGACCGAAACCCGCGAGGGACTGGAGCCTTGACAGGGAGGAATTTGGGCTTGTGGGAAGGGTGTTTGGAATTTTTGTCTTGCATCTTGTTTGTTTGTTTTGTTTTGTTGTCGTTGTTGTTTTTGCCGGGATAGAAGGCAACCGCTTACCGTGAGTCGGAGTCTCCCTCTGTCACCCAGGCTGGAGCGCAGGGCCACGCTCACACCACCACAGCCTCGACCTGCGGGTCTCAGATGATCCTACCGCCTCGGCCCTCAAAGTAGCTGAAACTACAAGCATGCACCAGCACGCCTGGCTAATTCTTTGCTTTACTGTAAAGACGCGGTCTCGCCAAGTTGCCCAGGCTGGTCTCGAACCCCTGGGCTCAGGCAATGCTCTCGCCTCGGCCTCCCGAAGTGCTGGGATTACAGACTTGATTTTTTGTTTTTTTTTTGAGTTGGAGTCTCACTCTGTCGTCCAGACTGGAGTGCAGTGGCCTCTCCCGGCCACCGCAGCCTCGACCTGCTGGGCTCCGGCCATCCTTCGGACTCAGCCTTCCGAGTAGCCGGAACTACAGGCGCGCGCTACCACACCCGACTAATTTTTTGATTTATTGTACAGATGAGGTCTCACCAAGTTGCCCAGGCGGGTCTTGAACCCGCGGGCTCAGGCAATCCACTCACCTCAGCCTCCCAAAGCATTTTTTTTTTTAAGTCAGAGTCTCTGTTGCCCAGGCTGAAGCGCAGTGGCAGGATCACGAGTCAACGCAGCCTGGATCCAGATGCTCCTTCCGCCTATGCATCCCGAGTAGCTGGGGCTGCAGATGCGCACCGCCATGCCTGGTTACTTTTTTTTACCTTGTTGTAGAGACGGAATCTCGCTGTGTTACCCAGACTGGTCTCGAACTCCTGGGCTCAAGGAAACCTGCCTCTGCCTCCCAGTGTGCCCAGGTTACAGGCGGGAGCACCGTGTCCGGCCTCATTCTGGGATGACTTAATCGTCCTACGAAAGGAACCAGGAGCTAGGGAAGGGGGTGGGGAGTGAATGATGGGGACAGAATTTCCATTTGGGAAGATGAAAACGTTCTGGAGGTATGTGGTGATGATGGTTGCACAAGTGTGAATATGCTTGATGCCACTGAATTGTGCACTTAATTTGGCTAAAAAGGTAGTTTTGTGTATATATTATTTTTTTCTTACACAGTGTTTTTTTTTTTGAGTCGGGTTCAGTGTTGCCCAGGCTGGTCTTGAATGCAGGACAAGCGATCCCCTGCCTCCACCTCTCAGAGTGCTGGGCTTGCACATGAGCCGCTGTGCCCTGCCTCATATAGCTTTTTTTTTTTTTTGAGTTGGATTCTCACTCCATTTCCTAGGCTGGAGTGCAGTGGCACATTCACAGCCACCCCAGTGTCGACCCACTGGACTCCAGCGATCCTTCTGCCTCAGCCTTCTAAGTAGCCAGAACTACAGGCGTGTACTACGACGCCTGGCTAATTTTTTATTTATTTTAGAAATTAAGATCTTGCCAAGTTGCCCAGGCTGGTCTCGAACCTGTGGGCTCAGGCAATCCACTCACCTCAGCCTCCCAAAGGCGCAGGATTACAGGCTGAGCCACCGAGCCCGGCATCTTTTTTTTTTTTGAGTTGGAGCCTCACTCTGTCACCCAGACTGGAAGGCAGAGGCACGCTCCTGGCTACCCCAGCCTTGACCTGCTGGGCTTAAGCGATCCTTTCGCCTCAGCCTTCCCAGTAGCCAGAATTACAGGTGCATGCTACCACATCCAGCTAATTTTTTTATTTATTATAGAGATGAGGTCTCACCATGTTGCCCAGGCTAGTTTCGAATCCGCGGGCTCAGGCAGTTCTCTCGTCTCGGCCTCCCAAAGTGCTGGCATTATAGACTTGAGCCATCGTGCCTGGCCTGTATACTATCTTCTTGAAGTAAGCTAGAAAAAAGTTAAGATAATCATAGCTGACTGTGGTGGCTCATTCCTGTAATCCCAGCACTTTGGGAGGCAGAGATAAGAGGATTGCCAGAGCCCAGGGGTTTGAAACCAACCTGGGCAACGTGGTGAGACCTTGTTTCTACAATAAATAAAAAACTCAGCTGGGCATGGTGTGCACGCCTGTAGTTCTAGCTACTTGGAAGGCTTAGGTAGAAGGATCACCTGAGCCCAGCAAGTTGAGGCTGTGGTGACCAGGAGCAGGCCACCACTCTAGCCTAGGTGGCAGAGTGAGACTTCG